CTTTATTTACATTTATAACTTATAGTTCCTATTCTAAATGTTATTTAATAATTTGTTAAAAAGAAATGCACTTTATTTAAGAAATAAAACAAAATTGATAAATTTTAACACTTTTAATTACAAACGAAACAAAACGAACCGAATCCGCCAAAAAGAAAGTAGTAAACTAAAATTGCTTGTTCTTATTAGAATGGCATTCACAGTGAAATGTTATCTTATGCAGTGATGCATTTTTTGCATAAGAATAATTTCTTTGAAAATTATGTACTTATAAAAATAAAACGGTTTTTTTTAATTTAAAATATATATTAAAACGAAATCATTTGAAATATAAATAATTTAAGTGTTTAACATCACGAAAGGCCTTTGCCTATAGTCCATTTTTGACGTTTTCTTTCATTTATTGAGAAAGAATTCATTTTCAAAAAATCAAAAATATATGGAAAAATAAAGCCATGGTAAAAATAATTTTATCATGAAAAAAGCTCTTTTGTTGCCACTCACATGAAAATTTATTTTTATGTTACAAAAGCGAAAACCCCATTTCTTTCGTTATTTTTATGTGACAAACAAAACATGCATCATGTTTTGTAGTCCTCAGTTCAAAAAACCCGCATTTTGGATTATGCCAGTGTGGTAGTAAATGAGCGATATGTATATTTTAGGCTTCAGCTTTCAAGCAATCATATTTTTCTCTTATAAAGTCGAAATTTAATATTTTTGTTACTACAAAGTCCGCCATCCACGGTATACTTAACAAGGTACCAGCACTTGAAAGCAACCGCACGATTGTCAAATTTTTTTTATATGGAGTTTGACAAACATACGATTTAAACCTGCATGTATAAAAAATTGTAAACAATGATCAGATGGTAAGCGATGTCAGGACCTTGTATTTAGTACACCCTGCCACCATCTTTTAAGAAAAAAGGTGAATAATTGATTTTTTACATTAAAGTTGACAAAAAGACGTGGGAATATCCCTAGTCATAGTGGGAATAGTTACAAACGTACGTAATCAGTTTGAAATCTTAGATTTTAAAAAAGTCATTTTATCTAATTTTCTTAAAATTTCAAAAATACATACAATCCCGAATATCAATTAAAAAAATAATTATTCCACGGAAGTATTACATTTTTGAAAAAGAAGTCAAAAATGAACGAATTCCAAAAAACTATAATAAAAAGTCATTGAAAAGACGACTTTTTCTTCTAATGATTGTAACGCACACACATTTTGGTCTAATAGCCTCCTTAATGAATATTAATCGGCTTAGAACAATTTCCTGACTCCATTTAGCACACAATCTTCTATTGTATCAGAGACGATGCCTATTAAAAATGGTTTAAAGCGGTCCATGATTTCACCTAGCCCTCATACAAATGATACGCCCTTAGGTATAAGGTTTTTTTAAATAAACTAGTAATTTGACAAAAAGTGGCACTATTAAGGTTGATACAAGTTATGATGACCCTGATGAATTTCGTAATGATCGTTACTCTAACTCAAAGCTCATTTCAGAAAATAACTAGTTTTTCATCAAATTTATTGAAGCTAAAATTCAATATAAATGGGGAAAAATACCACCACACCCGACTATAAATTTCTACTTGTTTTTTTATAGGGTTGGTAGAAAAATTAATATCGCCTATATCCCAGCATTTCGGTGGGTTACCCGATACCCGATAAATATGTGCTTGACCTAAATCACAAAGGTACTCGGAACGCTAGTCCAAAGCATTCAATACATTGCAATGAACCTTTTCGATTAAATTTTTTTTTAACTCTCTAGATTATTTGGGGATAACTATCTTCGCTTTCTCTTAAAAAGTGACGACTGTTTACAATGAGTACATTCTTGACGAAAGACAAATTGGAGCCAACCAGGTGGTTAAAGGTTAGTGGAGGAAATGACTATCATGTGTTGACTCTTTGCCGAACTGCTGAGATACAGGTGAACATTGACAACACGAAGTATCCTGCACAAAGCACGAAAGCAGAAGCGGCTACGTATTCAACAATAAAAAAAAGCCAAAAACAAAGAAAACAAATAGGAAACTTACCTTTTAACTTGTCTTGCTGGAATTACGATTTCCTTGCCATAAGGCAATAGTTTTTGCTTTGCAGAAATATTTCACCTAACGACGAGCACGCGAAGACACTTTCTTTTGAACTACAGTCTTTTATGATAAATATGGAAAGTTCCTATTCCAAACAATATATATTACATTCTTTATCACAATTTTACTTAATTTAGCACTTTATGCGATCGTTTTATTAGTTTTAACAATTTCATAAATATTAACACTACCGAATAGAAGCCGACACGAACAAAATGACCCTTACATTTATTATTTAAAAAAAAAAAAACACGAACCGAAAACGCTAACAAGAAAAAATTAAACGAAAACTTCTTCTTATTAGAATGTCATTCATGGTGAAATGATATCACAAACAAATATTCATTATTTGATTATCTTGGGGTTTATCAAGGTTTATTTGTTTATCTAACTAGAAAAATCTATTACAATTTATTGCATCCTAGTATTTCACATCACGGGATACATGTGAATATTGACATCGCACTACCCGAATAGAAGCCGGCAGGCACAAAATGATTTTACTGCGGTCCCTTACATTTATTATATAAAGCTTTAATGACAAAAACTATTTAAAACTTTGTTACGGAAGTTAATACTTTATTTAACAATTTTAAGTCATTTTATCAATAGTTTATTCAATTTTAAACACACCAACCGAAGCCGCTGAAAAGAATATAATAAACTAAAACTTCTTCTTATTAGAATGTCATTCATGGTGAAATGGTATCACAAATAAATATTTATTAGGGTTCTATAAATCGACTTTCGAATAATCGAACAATCGACTTTTTGTCGAAAAAAGTCGAAGTCGACTATTTTGTTCCAAAAAAGTCGATAACTTGACTATCGTTTGTGAAAAAAGTCGAAAACTCGACTTTGTGAATAAAAGTCGAAAAGTCTGAAAGTCGAAAAAAGTCGATAAGTCGAAAAAAGTCGAATAAAGTCGAAAAAAGTCGAAGAAAGTCGAAAAAAGTCGTAAAAAGTCGAAAAAGTCGGAAAAAGTCGAAAAAAGTCGGAAAAAGTCGAAAAAAGTCGAAAAATCGAAAATTGTAGAAACAAGTCAAAAATAGTCAAAAATTTTAAAAAAGTGGAAAAAAAAGTCAAAATAGTCGGAAAAACTCGAAAAAAGTCAAAAAATAGTCGGAAAAAAGTAGAAAGAAGTCGAAAATAGTCAAAAAGTCGAAAAATCGACTATTTATAAAATACTTATAGTCGAAAAGTCGACTTTTATTTAAATGAAAAAAGTCGAAAAATCGACTTTTCATAAAATGCAAAAAGTCGACTTTTAACTAAATGAAAAAGTTGAAAAGTCGACTTTTCGTTTCAACTATAGAACCCTAATATTTATTATTAGCTTATTTCTGGTTTTGTTGTTCATCTAACATGAAAAATCTATTACAATTTATCATATCCTAGAGAAATTTTATAATTAACGGCATTTCCATTAAAAAATATATAAAAAAGTCGAAACCCAGAGTATACTATTTTAAAGGATTGATTTGAAACATAATTTAGAGCAGTTTTCTATATAAAATAATATGTAACTGCAACAAGACTTTTTACCTTAATAAATTAACATCCAAACGTTTTGAAAAGTGAAAAAAAACTTAATATTTTGTTGTTTAATTTAGAATATGGCCGTATATTTTTTTCATTAAATAAAAACTACTTTTTTGTTGTTTTAAATTAAGAGAGAGAGTGAGTAAAAAAAGAAAATAAAAATAATTTAAAAAACTAATAATAAGTTCTGAAATTTGTATATTTCCTTGTTTTTTTTTCTTGTATTTATGTTTTGTAGAAAAAAACTTCCTTAAAGGAATTTTGTTGTTGTTTTATTTCATGCTTGAAAATGAAAAAATAAAGAGATGAAAGTTTATATATAATTTTTTTACATAAAACTTAAATTAGTAATGTTGTTAGTTAACATTTGTTTTTATTTTTGTTTTATTATTATATTTTAAATTACTTTTATATTTTTATTTTAATTAATTCTTTTTTTGTTTATCAAATTAAGTGCTGATTTTTTTATTTTTTTTAATTACTAGTAAAACTTTTTTTATTATTTTTTTTTGTTTTATTAATTAATAATTGTTTTATTAATTCTTATTTCAGTTGCATTCATTTCCTGTTTCATTTTTTAAGTTTTTAATCTTAAATTTTTAGTTAATTTAATTTTTTTTTTCTGTTTTAATTATTAATATTTTGTAAGTTAATTTCTTGATTTTTGTTTAGGTATTTTTTGTTTTATTTATTTGTTTGTTTATTATTATTATTTAATAATATGTTTGTTTTAATGAGTTTACTATTATAAATTTAATTTGCTGTTTTTTTTTTCATAAAATTATTATTATATTGTATGTATATATAAGGATTTTATAAAATTCTTCATTTAATTTTAATTTATTTTTCGTATATTTATTAAATATTATTATTTTTATATTTTTTCTTTTTTTGGCAAATTCTTGCAATTTGCCCTAAAACAAAAATAAGACAGAAAGTGTTTTTTTGTATTATTTTTTAGTGTGTGTTTAATTTTTTTATTACTCCTTTACTGTTTTGTTTTATTATTAACATTTCTGTGGGTTTTCTTGTTTACTCGTTATAAAGTTTTATTTCAACAAGGAGAAAGAATGCTTTAGGAAGGAAGTATGAATAAAAAAGGAACAAAAGTCCATTCAAAAAGAAAAATTATTATTATTTTTTGTATATAAGTAGTATATTTGTTGTTGGTTTTCTTGTTAAAGTAATTAAAGAGAGAGAAACAAATTATAATTTCTTTATGATTTAAATGATTGTGTGGGAGTGTGTATTTATTTTGAGAGTACGTGTATTTGTATGAGTGTTTGGTGTGTGTGTGTATGTGGAGGGAGGTTGTTATTTTAATATATTTTCTGTTTTTTGTTTGTTTTTCATTTTACCCTTTAACGGTAAATTAGGAAGTTCCATTCACTAAAGTTTCCTTTTTATCCTGTGTATGCTGCTGTTGCGACTGCTGTGGCTGTTGTTGTGGTGGTTGCTTTTGTTGTTGATGATCATTTGCATGATTTTGTTGTTGTTGATTGCGATTTTTATTATTACGTCTGGCTTTTGGCGGTTGATTGTGTTGTGGCTGCTGTTGCTGCTGTGATGCCACAAAACCTTGCTGTTGTTCACCTTTGTTTTGTGTAACACTATTGGCTTCTTTATTGTTGCTGCTATTGTTGTTATTATTATTGTTTAGACTCTGTTTTGATCTATCGCTAGCATTACCAGAAGAACCAACAACACCACCTCCACCACCACTGCTGCCGCCGCCTACACCACTATTTTTGTCAGCATTATGTTGTGGCGGTTTACTATTTTGCTGTGATTTGTTAGTGGCCACTCCACCATTTGCTGCAATAATAAATTAAACAAATTATTAGTTTTTATATTTTTAAATTATCATTTTGTAAAAGAAAAACACTTGTAATTATGTATGTCATGATTTATGTAAATAATTATAATTATTATAATTACATTGTGTTAATTTGCTTAATGAAAATGTTTTTGTTTAAAATTTAACACTCGTAAAATAGTGGGCTATTCTGATAGATTATTATGTTGGTCCTAGAATATTATAAAACATATTTACTGTAACTCGATTTAGAACAAAACTTTACTCATTATAAAACTATAACGATATTAAAAATTTGCCATAAATAAACTTTGACTTGATAAATTTCTATATAAAACTCAATACAGTGAAGAAGAAAGTTTCTGTAAAAGAAAGCTTTACTGATAGTTTGCTTCCATTGAATTTTATCGTAATTCTTTCTTTTTAAAGTTTTTTTCCTGATAAACATTATTGGCAATATCATGATCTTTTATTTGTAATTGTTACCTTGTAACACAATGTTATTATAATAATAAAATTAATAATAAATCGAATCATGACATCATACTCACTATTATGAGAGGCGTTGCTTTTTTGCCTTCTACGTCTTCGAGAGCTGCCTTCATATGAGGAATTACTTTCGGCTAAAAGTATAAAAATTCAATAAATCAAATTAAAAAAACAACTCGACAAAAATATTTTATAAAAAAAGAAAATTCTTTTGAGGTGGTTAATCATTATTTTTTAAACTGTCTAGTCTAGTCTATAGTCTAGTCTATAGTCAAGTCTATAGTCTAGTCTATAGTCTAGTCTATAGTCTAGTCTATAGTCTAGTCTAGTCTAGTCTAGTCTAGTCTAGTCTATAGTCTATAGTCTAGTCTATAGTCTAGTCTATAGTCTAGTCTATAGTCTAGTCTATAGTCTAGTCTATAGTCTAGTCTATAGTCTAGTCTATAGTCTAGTCTATAGTCTAGTCTATAGTCTAGTCTATAGTCTAGTCTAGTCTAGTCTATAGTCTAGTCTATAGTCTAGTCTATAGTCTAGTCTAGTCTAGTCTAGTCTAGTCTATGTCTAGTCTATAGTCTAGTCTATAGTCTAGTCTATAGTCTAGTCTATAGTCTAGTCTATAGTCTAGTCTAGTCTAGTCTATAGTCTAGTCTATAGTCTAGTCTATAGTCTAGTCTATAGTCTAGTCTAGTCTAGTCTATAGTCTAGTCTATAGTCTAGTCTATAGTCTAGTCTATAGTCTAGTCTATAGTCTAGTCTATAGTCTAGTCTATAGTCTAGTCTATAGTCTAGTCTATAGTCTAGTCTATAGTCTAGTCTATAGTCTAGTCTATAGTCTAGTCTATAGTCTAGTCTATAGTCTAGTCTATAGTCTAGTCTATAGTCTAGTCTATAGTCTAGTCTATAGTCTAGTCTATAGTCTAGTCTATAGTCTAGTCTATAGTCTAGTCTATAGTCTAGTCTATAGTCTAGTCTATAGTCTAGTCTATAGTCTAGTCTATAGTCTAGTCTATAGTCTAGTCTATAGTCTAGTCTATAGTCGAGTCTATAGTCTAGTCTATAGTCTAGTCTATAGTCTAGTCTATAGTCTAGTCTATAGTCTAGTCTATAGTCTAGTCTATAGTCTAGTCTATAGTCTAGTCTATAGTCTAGTCTATAGTCTAGTCTATAGTCTAGTCTATAGTCTAGTCTATAGTCTAGTCTATAGTCTAGTCTATAGTCTAGTCTATAGTCTAGTCTATAGTCTAGTCTATAGTCTAGTCTATAGTCTAGTCTAGTCTATAATCTAGTCTAGTCTATAGTCTAGTCTATAGTCTAGTCTATAGTCTTGTCTATAGTCTTGTCTATAGTCTAGTCTATAGTCTAGTCTATAGTCTAGTCTAGTCTAGTCTAGTCTATAGTCTAGTCTAGTCTAGTCTAGTTTATAATCCAACTATATTCTCGATTATAATTGAGACTGTAATACATTTTAAAATATAAAAAAAAAATACCTCTTTCCACGCTGCTTTGCTCACGAACTTCCTGTACATTATCAGTATGACTATAGTACTGATGATCCCTGCCATTTTGTTCGCTATTACGATTATTACGCCTTTGGCCACCACGACGTTCGCCACGATAACCACCGCCGCCGCCGCCAGCGCTGCTACGATCATTGCGATCATAACGATGATCACCGCGGGAATTATAATCATCATCGTCACCACGACGACCTACAAACAAACAAAAAAAAAAAAAAAAACAAATATTTATTTCCTTTCGTTTGAAATATAGAGATTGAGAAAAAAAAGAACAACATACCTTGATTATAACGTTGATTACCACCACCGCCGCCACCACCACCATTACCACCGCCACCGCGTCCTCGGCCTCTGCCACGTGGACCACCACGACTTGAGCGTACCGATTCAATATCACTGCTATAACCGCGTTCAGAACGACGTGATGAAGGAAAATTTTGCACAGAACCCATTGATGACTCCTGTATGGCTCGCAGTTGTTGATCGATTTCTAATTTTTCTTGGCGCAATTGTTCCACTTCCTAAAACGAAACAAAATATCTCTATAATAATGTTAAGATTTTGTAATAAAGAGAAAATACCTTTAAATGAGCCAAGTGATATTCCAATAATACTTTGGCATTTGAAATACTTTCAACGGTACCAATGAACACAAATGGCACATGTCCTGGCTCGCGTAATATACTAACATCGGGTTCATCATCGCCAGCGATCTAAAATTATTATTGTGAGAAATTGAATTGAATTTCAAACCAATTCCGTTTAAAAGTTCTGAATAATTACCACCTTAATTCGAAAAACACCACTCTTATCGACAATCTCTTGTATAATACGACCATTTTTGCCAATAACCTTACCAACCAATTCTCTGGGAACCTGAAAGAATTCCTCGGCATATTCTAGCATGGCTCTTGCTCTCTGTACCGCTTCCTTTGATTCGCCGGTTATTTTAAAAGTACACGATTTCTCTTCCAATTCAATATTAGTAACACCGTCGAGTAGACGGGCTGCTTGTATGTTGGCACCATGTGAACCAATTGCTAAACCCATTAAATCTTCACGTACATGAAATTCATCAGTATATCTATAAGTACAAAAAAAAAGGGAGGGAGAGTGTGCACGTGTTTAAAGAGGTCATAGTTAGTTTAATTGTTTGGAAATTGTGAATTTATAATTGAAAAATATTATTGTAATATTGAATGAATATTTTGTTTTTTTAGATATTGAAGTATACACCGACTTTTGATACACTCACCCACGGTTAAGTAGTTTAGTTGATTCCAATTGACGTGCAGCCTCTTCAGTACGTTTTAAAAGCATAACCTTTTAGCAGAGCAAATAAATGAAAATTAAATATTTAGCAATGAAATTAATTTAAAAAATTTTGCAAAATTAGTTTAAGTTTTTCGAATATTTCTTCTTTTCACTAGAACTTCGAATTTTTAGTAGAAATTGAAAATTCACTAAAAAAATTCGAAATTCCAATTCAAACTCTAGAATTCGTAATTTTCCTAAAAAATCGAAATTTTGCACAATTTTTGAAATTTATTGGAAAATTTCTATTAAAAATTCTATATTTAAAAAAAAAAATAAAATCAAAATTTCCACAAAAATGTGTATTTCATTAGAAATTCGAAATTTTACTAGAAAATTTCACCACAACATTTTCACAGGAAATGTTTCACTAAAAACTTTTCTAAAATAAATTGAAATTTCACAAAGATATTTTAACTACATTTAGTGAAATTTCGAATTTCTAATGAAATTTCGAATTTCTAATGAAATTTCGAATTTCTAGTGAAATTTCGAATTTCTAGTGAAATTTCGAATTTCTAGTGAAATTTCGAATTTCTAGTGAAATTTCGAATTTCTAGTGAAATTTCGAATTTCTAGTGAAATTTCGAATTTATAGTGAAATTTCATAATTCTTGTAAAATTAAAATTTGTTGCTGAATTTTTAGTGAAATTTTGTTGTTTTAGTGAAATTTTGTATTGCAGTGATTTGTTGTAATTCGGGGAAATTACTAAATTTTTGTGAAATCTCGATCTTCTAGAGTTTCTAAAAAAATTTCGTAATTATAGTAATTTTCCCAAATTACAACAAATCACAAACATTTCACCAACAAATTAGAATTTCACTAGAATTAAGAAATTTCACATTCACCAATAAAATTTAAATTTGTTGGTGAATATATAGTATAATTTTGTTGTTTTAGTGAAATTTTGTATTTTTGGTGATTTGTTGTAATTCACTAGAATTAAGAAATTTTACATTCACCAACAAAATTCCAATTCCCAAATTACAACAAATCACTAAATTTCAACAAAAAATTTGAATTTCACTAAAATTAAGAAATTTCACATTCACCAATAAAATTGAAATTTGTTGGTGAATTTTTTTTTTTGTTGTTTTAGTGAAATTTGGTATATTTGGTGATTTGTTGTAATTTACTAGAATTAACAAATTTCCCATTCACCAACAAACTTCAAAATTGTTTGTGAATTTTTAGTAAAATTTTATGAAGTTTTTAATTTTTAGTGATTTGTTGTAATTCGGGGAAATTACTAAATTTTAGTGAAATTCGGATTTTCTAGTTTCTAGAAAAATTTTGTAATTATAGTAACTTCCCCGAATTTCAACAAATCACTAAAAATACAAGATTTCACTAAAAATTCACCAATAAATTTAAATTTCACTAGAATTAGATATTCTAAATTTCACTAAAATTTAGAAAATTTCGCAAAATTACAAAATTTTTAAAAAATCGAAATTTTGTTTAGAAAATTAGAAAACTTTTATAAAAATAGAAATTTCTTTAAAATTCTGAAATTTCAAAGAAATACAAAATTTTACTAAAAATTGGAAATATTACAAAACTTCGCTAGAACTACGAAATATTACTAGAAACTCAAAATTTTTCTAAAAATTCGAAATTTCACTATTGTATTTTTGGTGATTTATTGTAAATCACTAGAATTAACAAATTTCACATTCACCAACAAAATTCAAATTTCAACAAATCACTAAAAATACAAAATTTCAATAAAATACACTAACAAATTTGAATTTCACTAGAATTAGATATTCTAAATTTCACTAAAATTTATAAAATTTCGCAAAATTACAAAATTTGTAAAAAATCGAAATTTTGTTTAGAAAATTAGAAAACTTTTATAAAAAATAGAAATTTCTTTAAAATTCTGAAATTTCAAAGAAATACAAAATTTTTAATAAAAATTCGAAATATTACAAAACTTCACTAGAACTACGAAATTTACTAGAAACTCAAAATTTTTCTAAAAAATGGAAATTTCACTATAATTAAAAGTTTCGCTTAGAAAATTAACAAAAATCAATAAAAATTCAAAATTTCACTAAAAATTCAAAATCTCTCTCAAATTTCGAAATTTCACTTGAAATTTACAATTTAATTAGAAATACAAAAATTCAATAGAAATTCTGGAAACTCGAAATTGTACCAAATATTTCACTTAAAAAATCGAAATAGAATTTAATATTCAAATTTCTTAAAAATTGTTTTTATAAAAAAGAAAAGTGTTTAGACTCTTTTTCCCTTTATCTCTCAAATTCATTTTTTCATGTCAAACACATCTAGTGAATGCAATAAAATACTATAAAAAGAAGAAACTTACTTTTTGTGATAAATTACGAAAATGCATATCTTTAAGCATACTGGCGCGTTTATGAGTCACATCCCATTTGGAAATCACAACTAAAGCATTCAAATCAGGACTATAAACACAAACGCCAGCGTTTATGGTACGTTGAAATTCCTTATGAATGCCATCTTTTTGTGCTCTAATATAAATTGAAAAGAAAAGAAAAAACAATTTAAATAAATTTTACTCCAAAATCTATTAATCATTTTTATTTTGTACTTACTCAGCACGCAATTCCTCGGGTACGGGTATCGTAAATTGAAAGAAAGTTTTTGGCGTAATTGGCGGATTGAGATTCTTTGCACGTAAACGTTTAAGTTCTACAATTTCAGTGTAGGGTGTCTCAAAGCCAATATAAGCCACAGCACAAATTTCAGCCTTTAACATTTTAATTGAAGCAATCCACCAGCCGCACACCTCACGCTCTGTCGAACGGGTGAATACCTCGACTTCCATGCCTTCTTCAAAAGTAGGTGGCTCGGGTTGTTCATCCGGTGGAAAGCGTACATTTGCAAAGGGATATTTTTGAACTTCTGGACAGCTGTTTAAAGGAAACAGAACAAAAACGAAAAAGAAGAAAAAACATACACATAATAAGATTAAAAGTGTAATAAAGAAAAGTGTTAATATAAAACATTTTAATTGGTATAAATTAATAAAGAAAGTTAAAGAACTTGACGAAATCTTGGGCGGCTGTCACAACAACCAAAAGAAAAAAATGAACAAAGCGAAATATGTACAAAGAAAAAAACATAAATCTTAAAGACAGGTGTTTTAGCATTCCTCTATAGCCAAACTAAAATAGCGTCATTAACATACAAACATAGGTACATTACTATAAATGTTTTTACGTATGAATATATGTATGTGGGGCCAACATGATGCATCCCATCCATATCCCATACACACTCTCTAGTCATATAAAGATTTATTTACAAGAATTCACTTGTGATGTATACATGTGAATTTAGACATTGAGTATTTTTCGTTTATAATGCTACAAACAAAATTTCAGAGCAGCTAAAATAGATGGATCGTGCTGGTTGGTGAGGTAGTCGCTAATGGCATAAAGCCAAAAATGTTTCAGTTTTTATTTCTGTTGCTATTTTATTTTTTTTTGTGCTTAAGTATATCAACAACATTTTAATAGCGGAGAAAAAATATGCAAATTGTAGAAAAAAAAATAATGTTTCAAGAAAACAGCCTAAACTAAGAATATGCGGAAATCTTATTTTATCATTTGAAAAAAAAAAAATACAAATTTTACAAATTCAAAATAAATTTGTGTTAAATATAAAATCATTTGTTTTTATTTTTAAAACAAGAGTTTTGATTGTGCATTAAATACTACTATTATTATTAATTTAATTTTAGTTGTTGTGTTATACTTTAAGAATTTTATCTGCTAAATTTATTTAGCAATTTATTAAAACAATTACTTTGCTACTGAGAAGTCTATGGCGCCATAAATACACATAGAAAATTAAACGTTTTTTAACACCCAGAGAGAGAGAGTACAAACAATTTTCAATATTGCAGTATTTTTATCGCTGAGTAAAAAGAAATGCAAGTATTTTTGCATTCGTATACAAACAATTATTTTGGGATTTTTTATTTAAAGATAAAAAATTATAATTTTGAGTATTTGTAAATAAAACTAATATGATATATACAAAGGTGACCAAATTGTTTATCATAAATATGTATATTTGGCTTGTTATTTTTAATTAAATTTAATCCCTTTAGAATTTATATTCACTTTAGTTTTAAATTCACATGACAGGTGCAATACTTAATATTCATCCATTTTTTGCAAATGTTCATATGCTTTTCAGTGTTGCTCGTGCAAAATTTAGAGGTTTCCAGCTCTAATGGTTTTCCAGATATACGAATTTTTGTATTTAATTCATAAGGGAGGTGCCACGCCCTTTATTGTTTATTCGCCAATATATTACGCAAATGTTCACATAAATGTCTAAGTTGTTCTTGGAAAATTTGAGGATCCTAGGTTTACTTGTTTCTTAAACATAAAATTTTTTGTGTTTTATTCTTATAGGAGTTGCCCCGCCCCCTATTGCTTGTCCGGCCATTTTTATATTAAATATTTAAATTGATACTAAAGGGCTCCGACAAAATTTGAGGACACTTAACTGTTTTATTTTCTCGGATATACATAATAATTTAGTATTTACTTTACATGGGAGTGGCCCGCCCACTATAACCATTCCGCCCACTATAACCATTCAGCACACTATAACCTCAAATGTTTATATGCATGTCAAAGTTGTCCAGTTTCTGAGATATGCGACTTTAGTACTTATTTTTATATGCGGCTGGCACCTCGCTTACTTGTAATTCCAAAACAAAAGGTAGCCTGTAGTTCCTTCTGGACATACTGCGAAATTTTCAAGAAAATCAGTCCAGCCATTTAGTTAAACTTTTATTTTTTTAAACTCTGCAAGTTGTTGGCGGTGTATTTAAAACACTGAAAATGCCAGGTTATCCCACGTTGGTTCGGAGAGAGCCCTCCAATCGACCTATACCTTTATGTAGGAAGTTGGAGCCCCGAGCAAATAATTAATCAAAAGTATTATTTGGTCTCCACCAATTAAATCAAACATAACCTCAAATGAGGTATGTAAGTAAAACGAAAACACGCAATTAATGCAAACAACGCATAACTTGGAAACAGTTATGCGGAGTAATACACTCAATTGGTGTGAATCAGACTTAAATCTGTGGAAAGCTTGGCAACAAACCCAAGCCTGATCGTCCTTAAGTGGCCTCCTGAGGTGGTGTGTTCGATTCCCACCTGAGGCCCTGGTTAAGGAGCGCACAACAGGCCCGATAGAAGCCCAGGTGTATTTCTTCGGATTTAATGTATATACATCCTTCTTTTAATCTAACTATCTAACTAGTGTGGACTATAATTCTTTGACGTATGCGGGACACCGTTGTCCCTAGACTTTTTTTCAATATTTCTCGATTTAGAGCGTAATTTTGAGTTCTTTGGTTATTTCCAAAAAAAAAAAATCAAGTTATTTTTTAGAATTTGGTGTCACTACATGCTAAAAAGGATAATATCCTTCGAAAACACTTTTTCCATTTTTCATCAAAAATGGTCATTATACGTCAAAATAAAGTGTGTGGCGAAGAGTTATCCATAAAAAGTCAAGCGGTATAGTTTTGTGCGTGAAAGGGATAAAATCGGCCCTAAATCTCAAAGTATACAATTACAATTTTTAACTTTGCCTAAAAGTATGTAATTTTTTTTAAATACATTAGCATAAAAATATGTTAATAATATTCACAATTCTGGGAATATTCTCGAAAATTGTATAAATTCTTAAAAAATGTTAATATTTTAAAAAATCTAAATAAATCTACAAATTTTTACATATTTATTTGAAGGAACTAATTTCTAATCTCATTTGGTCACTCTAATTATGTATATTTCTCTACTACCTACATATAAATAACTAAATAATTTCTTTCGTGAAATCAAAAGAAAAAAAATATCCCAATTATGAAAACATAAATAAATAAAATGGAAACTAGGCATGACAAGAGACAAAACAAACATCCTAAAAACGAAAATTAATTTTATATTACGCTTAACACTTGGCATTATTAAATTAAAAATTTTGAAATATGAGTGCTATAATCAAACGAGTCAGACATGGCGGCCTTAATAAATTAAAATAATGCATCCTCCGTGTACAGAAGTAGAAACTAAATTTATAGTTATGGAGAAAGAAATAGCATAATAAATTTTATTTTAGGTTATTCATATATATATTTTATTAAAAATCGATTTCTTTTCGTGTTTTAATTAATGTGGGAAATGAAAAATATGTTTATGAATTTGCTTCAAGTGTTTATAGAATTTATGTTTTCGTTTCGTTTGAAGGTTTGATTTAATGTATTTCTTTTAAAATTTAAACCTATTCAATATTAACCGATATTTGAAAGGTTTAAAGGCTTTTTTACAATACCATTTAAAAATCCTTTAATTCTGCCTGCACGATAGAGTTCGTAGGGAAGTATTTTTTAGAGGGCTGGAATTTTTCACAAATATTCTATTGATAAGGTTTGTTTGCTAATGAAAATATTAATCTATCCCCATACAATTGGGAAGTATTTTCGAATCGAAAGTTACAGTACAGTATCTAAATAGGATCTAATGGCTGGGAGCCGGAAAGCGTTGTGTAGTGGGGAATAATTTGTTGGACAGATTTAAAGCATTTATCTAACTATATGTGACTGGCCTCTAAATATTCATATTTGTAATTATTATAGACCTACTGCAGGGTGTCTTAGGATATATGGACAAAGATCGACAAAAAAAGACCTTATCAAGGTTCAGGCAGAACTTTGCTAAAGAAACGAATAAGACACCAGACTTTATTAAGAAGTAGGAGAAGATTTTAATGGCTAAGAAACAAGAACACAATAGACTAGAGCCATAAAACTGAGACTAAGGAACTCAGTAAGACTTAAACATTAGACTCATTTAGACATGAACATGGTTTGACCACATCATTCCCAAATGTTATTTCCAGGTATATCAGAATAATCTGGTAACCAGTTTAAAATGAGTAGACACGAGTGTCCAACATTCAGAGATCAGAGATTTAATATAAGGTACAGTTTTGGATGTTGTAATCGTATCTTTTATAATTACATCCATCTTTTATGGCAGATATCTCAGTCGTTAACACAATCCTTTTTTAAAACGAAGCTACTTCATTTATCAAATTAAATCCATAAGTGTAGACTTAAAACGATGATTATCTAATATAGTCCAGGGGCTTTGAGTTCTAGGAAAATTGTGTTACTACAATGTTCTTTAATAAATCCATTGTATAAAATGGCCACATCAATTAGGAACAGCATGGTCTATGCGGAAGCAGTAGGCTAAAAGTCTATTGTTATATTCCGACCTATGATCTACTCTTGTTTTGAACGGTAGGTTTTCTTCTGTTTCTACTTATGCGCTGGGTGACCTCATGGTACGACATACATGCAGTATTCTGCGAAGTTACAACAAGAACTTAACAATATTTCTTATCCTTAAAATGTTTATTTTGTCATCAAAGATAGTGGGAAAGCAATTGTCAATATTAACGGGACGTTCCGTCACTAAAATAATAACATACCAAAACGTAAGTCTGATTAGTTTGGGTACGATTCTCACCTGAGGATCTGGTAAGGGAGCACACAACAGACCGGTGTGAGGCCTTGGTGTATTTGTGCAGATTTGATGTAACATACAACCTTCCTTCCTTCAAACTAACTAACTAACTAACTAACTAACTAACTAACTAACTAACTAACTAACTAACTAACTAACTAACTAACTAACTAACTAACTAACTAACTAACTAACTAACTAACTAACTAACTAACTAACTAACTAACTAACTAACTAACTAACTAACTAACTAACTAACTAACTAACTAACTAACTAACTAACTAACTAACTAACTAACTAACTAACTAACTAACTAACTAACTAACTAACTAACTAACTAACTAACTAACTAACTAACTAACTAACTAACTAACTAACTAACTAACTATCTAACTAACTAACTAACTACAATCGTAATGAAGAAGCATTGAAACGACTTAGAATTCTCCTTCTTACGATTTCATTTTTTGTTGGAATACATTTTTTCGATCGTTGCGTAACTGAAAGCGGACACGTAATCGATATGAAGAATTAGGGAAGATTGGAAAAAAAAACAGACGATTTTAAGCAAATGTGATTGGGATTGAGGGACATGAGCAAATACTGAGCGATCAGTTTAAAAACCATAAAAATAAACTAATTTCCTTTGAAATTCAAACATGTATAACAAAAAACTAATTAAATCATAAAAGATTTTTCTTCAAAAATATTACAAAACCTACTGCAGCATAAAAAACTCGACCTAATTTATTTTTTGTTATGGTTGACTTGAGATAATAAACTCTATTTAAAACTTAACTTAACAAACAATAAAATGAAAAATCACAAAACTTACCCATCAACTTCACAACAGACACCATCGTCATAGACAGCTGTAACCATACCCTGAAAAATAGTATAAAATAAAAGAAAAACAAATTAATATTGAAAAAATGAATAAACAGACAAAAATATTGAATATCTAAGAAGAAAAAAACAAACATTAGAATATATTCATTATTTATAATTGAAATACAGATAATGAGTAACATTATGTGTTAAGCAGATTGCACATACAGAGACATGACAAAATTATAATTATAATTTCATTTCTTATTAAAAATCAAAATAGAAAACTAGAAAAATATTGTGTGATCTCAAAAAAAAAAAAAAAAAATGAATGAGGTACAATTTACTATTAATAGAAGTCATGTGCATTATTGAATACTCATTAAATATCATACAAATTACACATTTTTGTGTGTATTTTTGTTAAGAATAAGTTTTTCTACAATTTATTTATTTGTTTGTTTCTTTTATAGCAATACTTATTGATTGTTTTTTTTTTCTTTTTGCTAAGATTTTCTTCATTGAAAGCGAAAATCAATGCAAAAATATTGAAATATAACACAACACACAACGAATGTTGTAATTAAGAATAAACAAAAACCAATAAATTAAAATAAAATTGTTAATTGGATACGTGTGTGAGTAGTAGAGTGTTTTGTTAGTTTGTCTATTGTATTGCAGTTTTTCTTTTTGGTTTATTTATACATATTAGTTTTGTTGAAAACTAATGTGCAGCCTAAAAAATTTAAATTAGTTTAGAATCTAAAAATAAGGCACATGAAAGATAGACAAACAGACAAGAAGAATAAAATAAGTTTTAAACAAAAAAAAATGCAAAATGATAAACAAAAACCGCAAAATGCTAAAACTAATGAAAAATCTAATTGAGAGAAATAGAGAAAAATATAAAAACAGCTGAAAGGTTACAAACAGAATACGCAAAGTTCACAATAGCATATATGAGTGACGGAGACGTAAACAGAGCAGTAGCTTGTGATTTAGCGATGATGACATACAATTACAGAGTCGTAGAAAGTAAAGGGTTTAATATTGTGGGTGGTGAGTTCAATGTTGGAATTTCTTGTTCTTTTGTTTTTTGAAGAAACCTTTTTTTGGCATTCTAGTAAAGACCTGCACAAGGCATTTATGGTAAACTCAGCCGGTTTCTGAAAGCATGATATCTTTGTCCATGAATCCATTCTAATAATAACATTGATTACTGCTTCCTCATCCTTCTTCTCCCCTAATAAAAGATTCACAGTAAATACTAAGAATGTGTCACTTTCTGTTGAGGATGACTATATTGTAGTCTACACTGATGAATCAAAAGCTAAGGAAGGTATAGGAGGTGACTTCTATATCTCTAATTTTAGAAACTCTAATAAACCTAGTAATGTTGTTGCGGACGAACTGGCAAAAAGTGGTTGGTGTCCCAATCTCGTGCTGTAAAATACTTATTCAGCAAGAACTACACACGTCTGCCCAGATCAGATGGTTAACTTGATCCACAACCTGGTTAACTTATAGTTGTCACTGATAGGTCTTTCTTGCGTGTGTGATTATGGCTACTAACAGCCGTGATGGCAAGTCATTGGTTTGTAGGAGCGCATGCTAGGAGATTGAATCTTCGGTATAATGACTTTTGCAGAAGTTGCAATAATGAGAACAGTAGAACACTTTTTCTGCCAGATTTGTCTGACTTCCGACAGACATCACACAGGTTTGTTTGCCAGGTTACCTACTATAGACACAATTCGGTTGGTTGAAATCTTGATCCGTTTAGGTATCAAAACAGGACCTATTGTGCAACCAAGTTAGACAGTTTCACGCTGTGTGCCTTTTATAACCAGCAGACTTTTCGGTAACATTTCAAACATAATTGTTTCTTATTTAGTAGCATGAATATAGGAAACGATTTTTTGTATCTGTACATAGAACCTTTCTTCTGAAATTTGCAATTTTTAAGATATTTTTCTATTTTACCCATTTACCTTTGTACTGACGAAAAAACTTGCTACTAAACAGTTCACATAAAAGAAGTCGAATTTGAACACTAACTATATACCCCCTCCTTAAAATTTCCAATTTAACGAACCTGTTCTAAAATCAAAATCTAACAACTAACGTAGACGTTAGCAGAGTAACGTATTTGTGTGTATAGACAACAATAAAAAGTACCACCACCCCACCAGAAAAATAAATTAAAATAAAATTGTAAAAATATATACATATGTATATAATATTTTGAAAAAACCTAAAATAAAAATAGCACTAAACGAGTACACAAAACTTACCTTATAGTAGGCGCCATTATCGAGTCGAACTTCGACCAATAAATCATCCATATTGAGTTGGATGGATAAAACAATAATAAAAAGCCCAACGAAATGAGTTTTACTGGATAATGATGATGCTGCTGCTGATATCTAAAACAATCGGGACTCACGTACTATAATTTGACGACGACGACGTCGATATTGATGCTGATGATAATTGTTCAAAATTAAAAAAGCAAGAGGTAGAAAAGGTTGGTTGGTGATGATGATCTTGATGACGACAGACTGAGTGCTGTGAAAATGACTTCAACAATGTTGGTTGCTGGTTGTGGTTGGTGTTCACAATGAAGATAATATGTTGATCTTTCGTTGTAGAAAAATACTCTCAAAAATCAAAATCCAAAACAAAAAGTTAAACGATACTTTAAGGTTATAACGTTTGTTCTAATGCAGCAATATTTTTATGGAAATCCCCCGATTTCGTATTAAACGTTAACTCAAAGCGAATAATGGATGGATGATAAAATAAAGAAATTTATATTTTTGTTTATTTATTTTTTAATGATTCTGCTGAGTATGGTGATTGTTGGTTGGTGGTAATAATGTTTAGAAACAAAATCCACTAGATGTTTGTTGTTATTGTTTTGCTGTTTTTTTTTTTTTTCAATTGGAGTGGTGGAGTAGAGAGATATTTTGTTGTTTTTGTTGTAAGATTGGGTTCAGTCTTTTATTGTGGTCGTAGTCGTAGAAAATAAATATTTCGTCTGCTCTTTTTTACTTGATGAAGATGATGATTTGGTTGCTGGTGCTGGCTGCTGCTTGTAGTTTTTCTATTTTCAAAAAAAAGAAGAATTATTTTTCTTTTGAATTCCCTTTTTCACTTGGTTGTTGGTTTTTCTTTTGTTTTTGCTGTAAATTCTTTATTTACTGCTGCTAAAATGAAAGAATAATTTGGGAAAATATGTTAAATTATAAACAATTTTTTATTACTTTTTCTTGCTAATTTATATTTATGTCTAAAAATTTAATGAAAAACTAAAAAATGACGCCCAATTCCCCTTTTTTTAACAAAACGAAAAAATTCTAGTTTGTTTTTGTGCAAAAGGCTTATTTTTTCACTCTTCTTCTGCAGATTACGCGCTGCTCTGCTAACGTTGACGTTAATGAATGGTGTTGTCAATTAAACAAATTTTAAATGCAAATTTGAAACTAATGCAAAAAAAGAAAAACTTATATAATTATAATTTTTGAATGGAGAAACTAAAATTTTAAATTTTAAGCGATAAATCGTATGTTAATTTCGATATTATATGTATGCCTCTTCGTTTTTGAGTAATTTTACATGGAGCAGTAAAAAATGCATGACTATAGTTCTTTCAAATGGAAACAGCTACCGCTAAGTAGACAACCTCTAGCCGATTATAGTTCTGGTAGTTCCCGAGCGAAGATTCCTGAGGTGGGAATAAACTCTTTAGAAGTCAAGATGATTGGAAGCACTAACGGCATTATGCCAATACAAATGTTAAATAAGGTTTTTGGATACTATAAGGCAACTCCACGTCAGAATTATAGAGCATGAAAGACATTTGATGAGAAAATTAGATGATCTTGGATTTGGGAGTTATCAGGAGACTCTTTTGAAGTCTCATACAAAACAGCAGTCTTTGCTTTTTGATAAGGAACGCACTACTCTTCAAAATCTAAATTCTAAGAAATTCTCATTATAAACAGAATTTAAAGGACACGAATTTCAATAAATATCATATAAAATACCACCAAAATTATATAATACAAATTAAATTTAACATGTAAAAATTAACAAGTTTGTCTCAAACATTTTCAAAATAAATCCCTAATAAAAAACGCCAAAATGATGATTTCACGTCAAAGTTGGCAGCGCTGCTAGTATCTAGTATTTTTTACTCATCTCTAATTTTCTCTTTTTTACTATTTTTTTTTCTTTTTTACTTCCACTCTCATTTATTACTTCATTCCAATTGGTATTTTTGCTTTAGTTTTTAAATTCTTATTTGTCTTTGGCTTTTTTTTTTGCAAATTCTTTAGTTTTTTCCAAAAAAGAAAAAAACGCCGCTACATATCACAGTTTCATTTAAAACAAGAAAAAGACAATTTATTTTTATGACAAAATTCTATTTCACTATTTACGTCAATATAATTTGTTTGCATCACTTCCACTTTGATTTTTATGTTAAAAACAGCACTCAACAAAATAAACGAATATTCTTGAATTATCAATTTTTTTCATATTTTTTTTTCTTGTATTTTTTGTAATTTAGAAAAAGTCTTTAAACTCTTTTATAATTCTTTTTCTTTCCCTTTTATTTTTTCTCAGCGTTTATTTTCATTCGCCGCCTTGCTTAATTTGTCTTTTTTTGCTATCGCTTGTTCTTCTTCTTGTCGTTCAGCCGTCTTTTTTTCCCATTGGCCCAACAGAAGTAGAAGAAAAAATTCTCATTGCAAAATTTTTCCTTTTAATTTTTTAGCATGAAATATGTGAAATTTTGTTAAGATTTTATGCACTCACTATTAGCTGTTAGTTTATCTATGGAATTTCGTTTATTTTATTCAATTTATTTGCTTAAAATTTGTGTAAAAACGTATTTTTAATCGCGTTGCAGTTTTTTCTCACTTCCCTGCTTGAAAAAAATTCACGTACTTCACATTGATGGTTACAGTGATACCAAGTTTTGAAATTTCTAAGCAAACTTGGCACACCTTTTTCATTAAATTCTGATTTTTTGCTGACCCAAGTGAATTTTGCTGAGTTCGACACACAAACATGTATATTCCTTACGGTAAGGATTTTGCTGACAACCCCGTCAGCAAGTTTGCTCAGACTCAGTAAAATTGCTGAAATTTTAGAGATGCATTTTTTGGTAGTACTATTTTAGTATGCTGCCAGTTATTTAAGTATTGGCGGAAAAATACCGTTATATTTAAATGTTTGAGAAATCAATTGAACGAATATAAATCATTAAGAAATAACCATGTCGGGACATACACATATAATTGTTTATTTGTTTCTTAAGCTTTTAAAATTTATAAAATGTAATTTCCTATAAATATTAAACTTGCTAATAAAAACCAGCAAAAAGGCATGGCCGAAGCAGGAGTTCAATTCTCGTTTTATATTCAGTGGAATTATTATTTTCAAAATTGTGTTCAGTCTTGAAATAAAGAATAAAGTTTTTAAAAAGTGTTTCTGTAAAAATACTTAAAAAAAATTTGAAAATATAATGAGTTTCATTATACATACAATAAACAAAAACACATTTTACACACAAATTCGAAGAGCAACAATTACAAGGATTGACTAGACTATAGACTAGATTATAGACTAGACTAATTTTTAAAATATAATTTGCAATATTAAACCATTTTTTTCATTGATACAAAAAGTAAAAATGAAATAAATGGCAACACTTTTCTTTTTATTTTGTTTTACTTGAGTTTATTTTTTTGTACCCTTTATTTATGTTTAAAAATGGCAATACTGTAATGAGAACATAAATGATGTCAAAATTTAAGCTGGCAACGATGGCGATTGAAAATGTAAGTATTTTCAGCATTAAATAATTTATATTAAAATTAATAATTTATATTAAAACTAAGTTTAAAAATATTTAAATACAATTAAAAACTTTTAGTAAAAATTCGGTAGATTTGTTTATAATACAGCAGATTTCCTTGGGATGCGATTAATAAGAGTTATTATGGAAAATTTTTATTTTAGCAAGTAACAATAATAATTATTTATAACAAGTATAAAGAAATTAACATTGTAAACGTCCCCTTGCAATTAAAATATTTTTGTTAAATATTCCTGCATATAACAATTTATAAAGGACAAAATAGTGTGCCTTGTAATGACAGTTAAATGAAACGATTTGACAAATTACAAACAGTCACTCTAAAAACACAACCTTGCAGACGTTTTTGACAGCATTTTATTTACCACAATGTAGTTAATGTAATTAACAAATAAACTTGTTAAAAGCACTAATGCACTTTTTTATTATATATATTACTTGTATAGTTGTAGTTACATGCAATTGAACACAACCATTTCACTACCCATATGTATATATATTTACATTAGGGTGGTACCATTTGTATGTGAAAAAAATTAGGTACTGATGTTTCCATTAATAATGAAAGCATTTTAGGATACCATTTCTAAAAATGTTTGTCAATATTTGGAGAGCTGCATAAATGGATAAAAATGTGCTTTATTAAAGTTTATAATTTATGTTTCATGCAAAGAAATTATTTAAAATTTTGATATCATTTGGCGCCAGGGCAAATATTTTCGAGAAATGGTATCATAGAATGAACAAGATTTTCATACATTTTCGGCGAGAACATCAGCAAATGTTTGAGCGCCCTAATATGCATACATACATACATATGTACATATGTATATGTATGTATTTCAAAGTTAATAACTCTAGAATCTTATCGTGTTTATCTTCTGTCATTGGTTCTTCAGTCTGTCAAAATGTGCTTTAGATTTTGTTGACCAGATTGATTTGTAAAATTGTGGAAAAACGAGGAGTCATAAATTTATTACAATTTTTTTTATTAAAATGCAACAAATACAAGATGACGGTTGTGAACTGGACAAGATTTTTATTTATTTATGATTGACTACAGTGACTTAAATTTTTACCCAAATTGCTGTCACATTTTTATTGTTTGCTTATTTTCGAATACATATTTTAGATTGTTTTAAATTTACTATACTACTTACTGGTGTTATTAATTTAAGGTATTACTTAGTTAAATAAGTTAAAAATAGTTATGACCATAGATAATTTAGTAATGATAATTGTGAAAACATTAGTCTATTTACATGGCCAAACATTTTTATTAAAAAACTTTTTATTAAACAATTGTTTTGAGTTCTTTAATGGGAAATAGTCTATACAGTATCTATACTGAATTATCTTTATAACAAGATACTTATGGAAAAATTGGACAACCTATTTAGACCACTTTAATGCAACTCAATTGCTACATGACTGGCAAACTTTTTAAAACTAAATTCTTTAAACCCCTAAAATACTTCAACTATCCTAGACAGATTGATTATTATATATTTTTCAAAAACCGTTTTTCGAATACATAGATCAAGCAGTAAACGTTTGAAAATTCATTTTGTTATTTTGAAAAAAAAAACTGCTTAACCGATTTTGTTTAAAAAATATGTATCTATATGAATTCCTTAATTTTAATATTTTTTAAATTAAAAATATGTAATAAAATATAACATCTGTACCAGGTTTGCTCTCAGATCATTACAAAAATATGTGTAAATTAAAATTCTATTTAATTAATGAGAGAATTAGAAAACTATATTGTAATTATAATTTTCTTGTTGGTTATTTTACGTTGACAGTGCAGTTAGTCGGTAGTGCAGTATAGAATATGAGAAAAAGTAAGTAGTTGACAAATACTTATCACAACACTTGGCAGAACAACTGTACATTTTTTGATAATGCAGTTGTTCGGTAGTGCAGTGTAGAAGAAAATATGAGATGAAAAAAAATAAAAAAATCTTTGATTTAATACAATTTGAAGATTTTTTTAATGTTTTATATATTTGGCAAAAATAATTTGAATTATTGAACAAAAAACAGACTAGGTGGGTACAAAATTATCAACCAAAGAATAAATAAGAAATGAAACTGTTGTCAAAAGTACCTAAGTCTACTGTCATCCGGTACCTAACTCTAAGAATGTATTAGTAGAATTCTCAAGTCAACATAGTTGCAAAAAATCGTATTGAAAAATATTGAAAAAAATATTACATTTCAATTTATACTTTGAAAGGTTTCTTAAGATATTTTCCACATATTTTATCTACAAACATTTTATAAACACGTCTATTTATTTTTTAATCTATAATATTGAAAAAATAAATTATTTATTTGAAATATCTTTTTCGTTTACCATACGAAAATTTACGTTGTTTTTTTTAGTTTTAATTTCAACCAACAAAAATTCAATGTCAAAAAATAAAAAATATTTTTTTTCGTTTGTAAAAAATATATTATTTTCGGGCTATTAAATGTATTTAAATTGTGCAAAAAATTATTAAATATAATGTTAAGTGATAAAAAATATTTCAAAGTGCTATTATCCTCAAATTTTCGCGAAAAAGTTTTGAAGTTTGGAGAGAGAAGAACATTTTTACGTATGTGTTGGATTTACACAGTACTCGTCTGTGAGAAGAGCGTAATGTTATTGTTGTAAAAAAATGACAGCGTTTCACTTCTTGTTTATTCTTTGTTATCAACGATGAAATTTTTAATGGTCTTATTTTAAATTTTTGTCATACACGTGGTGTACTACTTTAAAAACTGTGTCAAGTATGAAGTCGAACTTCCACAGCATTCAAAAGGCAATGTTTAGGCTTAGTTTGTTTCTAGGTTTTGTTCCGTAACGAATCAGCTGATTCGAGTTTTTCATACTAAAACTCTACATCAACCTCACGATCAAACTAACGACTTCCACAGTATTCCGTAAGCCAAAAACGAATCAGCTGATTTAACACAGAACAGAAAGTAGAAAATGAACTTAACAGCATTGGCAAAGCATTGTTTTGTTTTAGGGTACATAAATATTCTCCCATTTTAACTTTTTTCTATTAATTAAAGTTAAAAATTTAATTTTAAGTTTTTTTTAAGACCTGTCAAATGAATAATACTTTCTGCGTCAATTTCTTATTTGGTATTCACTAGATTAATATCTTTAAAAGTAATTGGAAATATTTTCATAAATTTCTTTAATAAAACTAAACCATTTCAAAATGATTCAAAAAGTACTCAAAAACTTTTTTTAATCAAGAAAAAGCAAATGACGCATTGTAATTATGTAGTACAAGTACGAAATTGCAAAAGAAAGAAACATTTATATAGAGCATGACTTGGTTATTTTTATTATTATTCAATTATTACAAAAAAGTAAGAAAATAGTGCGCGCAATATTGATTTGAAATGGTCAATAGTTGAGTTTTTATATTTAATGGTTTCTTCATTTTTATATTATCTGAAAATGGACAAATAGACAATCGAACAATAAGAATAAAAAGTACTTATAATATTTATCTGCCTCTTCTGTCTGATAATAAGTTGAATCATTTAAAGTTGAAATAAAATTTTTAGTTTATAATGACGTTTATTAATTTCTTTCGGATACGTCAAATGTTTTTTTTTTAGTTGAACACATTTAGGTGATCACTTCACTTGAGAGAAAAACTACTTTAAAAACATTTGACTTTTTTTGTAATTTCTTTATTTTATCATAAATTCCCGCCAAGTTATAGTTTCTCATTTATTTATAATAATTTGACTTTCTTTATTTATTTGTAAATAAATAA